ATCAATGAGAGTAGAAATCAAATTCTTTACCATAGAATTTTTGGCGGATAAACCTTCAACGATGATGAGCGTGCAAAATTGTATATAAAAAAGATATTGAAGAAGAATACGTTGAATTTTAGAGCAAAATTGAAAGTATAGTATTCAGATAAAAATATTTGTATATAACATCATATGGTTCACTTTCATATTAAACATTTAAAAATGAGATTTTAATTTGTATGAATATAAATTGTGAGCATAAATCCTAAACATCATTTAGGGTCTAAATGGTAACAGCTGAATCTGGCTAAATTGTAGAATCTAGCTGAATTTTTGATATTTTTTACAGAATCTGGCAGAATAACTTTGAATGCAATGGTAACAACTGAATCTAGCATAATGTGACTGAATTTTTGAAAATAAATTAATTAGTTAAACTTATGAAATATCTATTAAACTTTTTTTTCAAAATTAAATATATATTTATAAATGTATTAGTTTTTAGAAAAGAAAAATATTTTATTAAATTATTTTCTAAAACCTAACTTATGTTATCAATAGTTTCATCTTTTATTTTTGTTTACCAAAAGTAATAAGTATTTTTTTTATCGCTAAAATAATGAGTAAATATTTCTAATTTATTTGAAAATTTTGGAAAAGGTAATTTTTTAATCTATTGTCAAATTTTATCTTATAATTTATTTGTGTGATATGTATCGGCAATTCGGATTTGTTGAATTTTAATTTACCATCAAAGCTTATTATATACACATATATGTAATTCAAAACAGTTCAATAAGAAGCCAATTAACATAAGTTCTTTAATATTGATATCATTTTCTGGCATTTCAAATGTTTAAAACGAGAAATAACGTGGTAAAAATAGAACAAAAATAAAGATAGATTAGGGGTGGGACGGATCAGGATCCATGTTATCCGTGGTAAAAGTATTCGGATCCGGATCCGTGCCTCCAGATATCCGGATTTTAGATATCCGACTAAAAATCAGGATATCGGCGGATATCCGGATCGAAATTAATATTAAAAATAATTAAAATAATTAATAAAAATAAGTTTTTTAAAAATTATTCATTAATATTTTGAATGATATTTTTGCACA